TGTAGGTACACTCAAGGCACCAATCCTATATAATAAACGATCACACCAGAAGGGGAGCAAATGTGAGTTCTGATCACTACTGGATCGAAAGTAGGATAAGGGCCAGAATTTTTAACGTTTGAAAAAGGAAATATGTTCTAAACGTACCATACAATGTAGAAGGACTTAAAAAGGCAAACAAAAATAGAGAATATAAACAAAATATAAACAACAAACTAGAAAACAGACTTAAACATGAAAACATAAATAAAGAGTGGGAAGGGTGCAGAAACGTTATGAAAAAAGCAGCTGAAGAATTATTAGGCATGCAAGGTAAACAAAGAAGAACAAGAACGATTTCTTTTTGACGAAGAACATCAGATTATAATAGAGAGAAAAACAGCATATTTATTGACGCGAAAGGGGTACAAAGGAGGAATATAAACAACTAAGCAAGAAAGAAGAGAAAATCCACCGCAGCAAGAAGAGAGAAACTATAAACAAAAGACTTTAAGAACTACAAGATCTAAGTAAGCCAATAAAGATAAGAAAATTTTACCAGAAACTGAACAAAAGCAAAAAGGAATTCAAACAAATGAAGTAAAGAGATAAGGAGGGTAATATATTGATAAAACAGCAAGAAAAACTAAGAAGATGGACTTCCTGAATGAGACCGAAAATGTTTTAGATTATATTGATATATTAGATGTTCGTTTGTAGTACTCAATTTAACGTTTTTTTTTTATAAAAATATTGCTTTTAATTATGTATTCTGCCATACGCTAAATAAAAAATAAATTATCCTCTAATGATACGCTTCTTGGTAAAACCCATGACATCTAAATTATATGATAACTTACGATATCACGCGTATGAATCATTTCATTATTTCTTTGCTGGAGTATAGTCGATAGCGGAGAAGATAGGAGAGCAATGCAGGTGCTGGGCGAAACACCGTTTTTGTGAGAGTTTTTAAAAAACCGGCAAAGTTTTCATTAATTCCATGTGTGTGATGAGAAGATGATTTGAGAATAACATGCAGTGTGGCTATTTCTGTAATTTGAATTAATCGCCGTTTGTTGTAAGCTGTATCCTGTGTCAAGGGATTTGATAACAGCGTCCTGAGGGCTAAGTAAGCCGACATGGTTTTAAGCAGAGGATAAGTAGCCGAGTTTGAAGGATTACATATTATTATTATCCAGGATAACCTGAAGCCCGGTTTTGGTATTTTATTTCTTCCAGGATTTGTCCAGCCTCCATTTTGTTGTCTCCAAAGGGTCGGATTTGAATTGTTTAAAGTTTGTGGGACAATATTTTTTTGTTTAAATGTAAGCCAACGAACTTTTTTTTCTAAAATTTAAAAAGATATCACTAGCCATTGAAGCGAGTAGTTTTGTTAAATTTTTCGAAATAAACATTTACTCTTAATACGCCAAGATCTGCTCTCATAACAATTTAAAAGTTTATAGATAAATATGTTCTATGTATCAGCTAATTATCATATTTTAGTTACTTTTAGATAATAAAATTAAACTTAGATAATTAATTATTAATTCAGAATAGTTTGGCAGTTTCATTTCGACATATGACAGTATGTACATCTTTTTCTGTCATTTGGTACATAACAATAGTTTTAAAGTCTATTTTATTAGAAGGTTCAATGTAATGTTTTTTCATAGATTTAGATTTTTTTGTAATAACTGTTTATGTCAAATAAAAATATATATGTAATTTTTTTCTTTACTTACTTTACTTTATCGTGTCCGGACATGTCATTCATAAAATTTCGGCCCAGTATCGGGCTACGTCGGTTCCATCTTTGTTGGCGAGCCACAAATCTTCAAGGGTACATCGATGAGGACAGTTTCTGCATGTAAGAAGATGTTCCATATTCTGTGTTTCTCCACAGTCACAGTTCACATCATCTTGGTTTATTTTTCCCCATTTTGCCATGTTTGATTTTACTGTAGCAACCCCCGTTCTTATCCTATTTAAGGTTTTCCACGTTTTAAAGTCTAGGGTCTGGCCGGCCCATTGAACCTGGGGAAGTGGAAAATACTCAGGCGGTTCATCCTTCACTGTTCCAAGGAAGCTTTTCCTAGATTTTAGTCGCTTTCGTGGTGTTCGAGTTTTGTACAGGGCATGCCGATCGTCCGCGATCTGTTTAATTTTCTCTATGTGTTCTGCAGCGCCTCTGCGTGTTGAGGGTTCTGCAAAACCCGCTGCTCTATATAGATTTGAAAGTGGCGTTGGTTTCATGCACCCTGTTACTATCCTGCATGTCTCATTTAGCGCAGTATCAACTTGTTTGGTGTGGACAGATCTGCTCCAAACGGGGCATGCATATTCAGCAGTTGAGAAACACAGTGCCTGTGCCGTTGTTCTTAAAACGCCAGGACGTGCGCCCCATTTACTTCCCGTTAGCTTTCTGAGTATGCTGTTCCTAGTTGTTACTTTCCCTCTTGTTTTTATGCAATGTTGTCTGTAGGTGAGGGACCGGTCTAGAGTTACTCCAAGATATATAGGTTGGTTTGTGTGTTCTAGGTGGAACGTGGAAGGTGGAAAGCGCAGACTTGGGTTTTAGAGGGATTGGGTCTCAGAGAATTCTGCAGGTAGTACGCTGTCATTATTTTTAAGACAGTTTCGAGTTTCTCCTCCACTTCTTTAAAACTATTTCCTTGAGCACATATTGCAAGATCGTCAGCATAGAGGAAGTGCTTGGTTTCGGTCGGAGTAGGTTGATCGTTTGTGTATATATTGAATAGCATTGGTGCTAAAACACTTCCCTGTGGGAGGCCGTTTTTTTTGAACTCTCCACCTACTTACTTTACCCTCCAGCATAACGAAAAAAACGTCTATTTTGCAGTAAGGAATATACGACCTTTCCCAGATGGTGGTCATTGAGAGTATCGTATAATTTGCGGAGCAATGTTTTGTGCCTTACTGTGTCATAGGCTGCTGTCAGATCTACAAAAGCAGCCCCTGTTATAAGTTTTTCTTCAAAACCCTCTTCAATGTGTTCTGTTAATGCGAGGACTTGACCGGTGCAAGATTTGCCAGGTCTGAATCCTCCTTGTTGTGGGATGAGGTGCTTGTCGACATTTTTTTCTATTCTGGCGAGTATGAGTCTCTCGTATAGTTTAAAAAAGTGACACAATAGCGAAATAGGTCTGTAGCTACTGGGGTCTTCTGGATCCTTTCCTGGTTTTAACAAGGCTATTACTTTAGATTTCCTCCATGATTTTGGAATTTTGCAGGTTTTGCAGCACGTGTTATAAAATTGCAAGATCCAGTTTTTTGCTCCTTGGCCTAAATGCTTTATTTGTTCACTGCATATATCATCCACACCTGCAGCTTTCCCGTTTTTTAACCTGTTCAGACCGTCGTGAAGTTCTTTTAGAGTAAAAGGAGTTCCTAGGTGGTTTGTCTCCGAATCCAATCTTCTCCTAGTGTTTGGGTCCTTATATCGGTTCGTAGTTCTTCCATTCGTAAGGAGTTGAGTAGCGACTTGGTTTGCTGTAACCTTGCAAGGTGGTTTATGTTCTTTTGGATCACCGCTGAGTTTTTTTTACAAGGTTCCATGCTATTTTGCTACTATGTGTCATGTCCATTTCTTCCAGGGTCTCAATCCACTTTTCCTGTCTGGCTTGACTTAGCTGTTGGAGTAGTACTGCTCCGCAGTCAACCGTTTCTTGGCTAAAAGGGTCAGTGGAATAGAGGGTTTCGTATGTACTCATTAGTTCTTTGGACTCGCTGGACATCCCGGGAACGTATTGTTGTCTACATCCTCTAGGGATAGTTTTTCTAGACACATTTTTGAGTACCTCTACGAATTTTTCGTAGTTCTCTACTTTTGGTTCAAGGCGTAGTAGTTCAAAATCTAGCATGTCTGCATACTTTTGCCAGTTTGCCTTTTTGAAGTTAAATCTCCTTCTGAATGGAATAGCTTGTGGTCTGACAATTGGGAAGATATTTATACCAATTGGTCTATGCTGAGTTTTTGGTATGGGGCCATATACTACTTTGGTGCATCGGTAATGTTTTTTCATAGATTTAGATTTTTTTGTAATAACTGTTTATGTCAAATAAAAATATATATGTAATTTTTTTCTTTAAACTAGGAGTATAGAAAAATATTTCTTTAAAAAAAATATTTACCTTTTAGAATTTTTTAGGTAAGAAAAACCCTAAACCTTTTTTTCTAAGCAGTAAGAGGATTTTTTAAACAGTGTCCTAATTTTAAATAGTTTAGAAATCTTCTTGTGTATACTGTTTGCCCAGGATATCTCTGTAACTATTTTTTGATTTCTTTTTCGTAGTTAGTTCTCCCAGTCCCCCCAAAAATATGAATCCTTTTGCCGTAGCCGTTTGCAATTTTTTGTTTACCCCATCTCCAAACTCAGTTATTGTTCAGTTCCCCTTTTTTTAGCCCCCCTATAAGCAAATAATATTGTTACAAGTTGGTAGCAAAGCCTCCAAAAACAACATTTTTAAAAACAAAACTACCAATCTCCAATTAAAAATGTTCTGTCATTAGATATGTAAAACCACCATTCTGTGCTCTACGTATTTGTCAAAATGTTTTACTCTTATTAATTATAAATAGAATAAACATCAATCTTGTACACTTGCTTTTACCACTTCAAGTTTTCTTTCTACTCTCCTGTAAAATTTTCTATAAAGCGTAAATTGCAGCTTTTGATTTTAGTCTTCTTCTATTAGATCCACTTATTCTCTTCGATTATAGTTAGATGTGATGTAAATTAAAAATGTACCACCATGTAATATGTAAATGGTCTTTTACTTATCTAATTTACATAAAATATGCAATAAATAAATAACAATAATATCACAACAAAATGATAAAATTACATTTCAACAAAACAACAAGACACTAAATGCTCTGCAAATAAAATACATGTGTTTTAGAATTGATAGGTACCTAATAATCTTAAGAATATTTAATGTATCACAGATGTTAGAAAAATTTCCTAACCTACAATTCATATAAACTAATAATATTATAATACTAAAATGTATGATAAAATAGTAAACAATAACATGGGTACAATTTTTGTTGGTGATATGTAAGAAGCTTTTCCGCATATTTTGATTTCGCTCTCCTGAAATTACAAAAAAAAAAATAATAATTAATTTATTGTCATAACACGTGTGTGCTTTTAATAACATTAAAAATTTTAAATAAATGAATTAAAAAGAAAAGAAAGACCATCCTTTTTGTACTCTTTTCGTCGAGCAAGCCCGATAAACAAAATACATATAGACATAGGTATAGGTTGCATTTCGCTTTAATTTGAGTCGCTCATCATTCTTGTGTAAGTTTTCAAGATTTACCTTTCATCAGGGAAAACTTTGTGGGAACTGAATTGAACCGACGCGTACCATCCAGGTAACAATTATTAGTAAAATATTGCACCAACCTCAATTATCTTATTTCAATGCCTGTCACCTATGTATGCTATCAGGTTGTTCGAGATAACCGTGTTATTGAACGATTTAAATAGTGTGTTAGATATCATTTCAATCTCAAATACGTGAACTCAAATTGTTGGTTTGGCGTTTTAAATAAACCAAAAAAGTGTGGAAAACCCCAGAAGAGAGGATGTGATAATATTAAAAATATAAAATGCATAGTGAATTTGAAATACCGTTACCCAAACTAGTTAGGCTCATCTGAATGATGATGACAGACACAGTGGTTTAGATACAGATAGACAGATAGATTTAGACAAACAGTGTGACGGGCACCAACACGTTAATTTAGCACCGAAATACGTAGATAGAAACAGATCACAAGGTAGAAGTAACAGACTCATCAATAAATCAGTTCAACTGGCAGCTTATGTAGTTGGGGTAAATATCATGAGAAGAACCAAAGCAACAGACGAGAATACATATATGGAACTTAAATCACATGCTATACAAATGGGTCTGTCAATATATATATATATATATATATATATATAATATATATAAATATATATATATATATATATATATATATATATATATATAAAAGACTAAAATTCATAGTACAAAGCCGATCGTAGAAAGCAACACGACCCATCTTACTGACAGTTGATAATTTAGTAGATAGATATCTTCATTTATTTAGAAGTCAACACAATAAACAATAGCATTGACGATGTAGTGACCGATAGTGAACCACAGATGTGAAACTTTGGTTTTAACTCATAAATCTATAAACCACATGGACTTCTTTGACAGAAAGATACTGGGACAAATACAAGCTATAAATGAGAACAGATGACGAATCAGATAAAATGATGAAATATATAATTCATTTAAAGAATCACCTTTATCGCAGTATGGTGGCCTAAAGCGTCTTTAATAAACAGGCCTTGTATTTAGAATAGAAGAATACAGGCTTCCAAAAAAACTGTTTCAATGCAAGAATATAGGGGAATATTAATTCCCCTACATTCGTTCTTCTCCCCGAGTAGGAACTATTGGAATACCGAGAAACCGATAGGAGGATTATATTAATGAGGATGCAAGAAATCTCCTCGACTGTAGAGGAGAATGACTATGGACCGTAACGAATGGAGAGGTTTGTTGAGGGAGGGTCAGAAAAAAATTAGGACTAGACCACCCCAAACATAACGACGAAAAGAAAAATTGTAAAAGTGCTTTCTGTTAATTAAATAATTGTAAATGTAAACTATATCACAGAAGAAATCAAATGGAGAATAATTTTAATCATATTAGTTTGTACTGCGCTAAGTTAATCACTTTATCAGTACTGACATAATGATCCGAACCATTGACCATCTTCTAAACAGATGAAAACCTGTTATTTATATAACTGAAGGAGGTACCTGTACCCGGAAAAAAGTTACAATTATGAAATATACACAAAAATATGTCGGATGGAAAAGACATCTTTCACAAAATAGAAAGAATGAGACATTAACAAATTCGTGACCCTCCAAGTATAAAACCTGGCTAGACCCTGATCTTCCTGGCCTGTTAGGGCATACGACCGTAAGCAACTTCACTGCCCCTACTAGTCTGACACCAAATGAAGGTGGCACGATGCCGAAACATCGTGGGACTACACCTTCCCCGTAGTACCTGTATTGCGGGTACGTCACCCGTCCGTTGATCCCCCCACCGGGGGCGGAAACATGAAGCAGAAGGACGAATTCTACCTCGCACGTAGACAGGTCGCCGCCGAGGATCACTCCTCTATCACTCTTAAATGATACAGGTGGGTACGTGCCGAGACACCGACACCACTCTTGGTGGTGTAAGTCCGTGAGAGGTATATACAAGCTCATCTCGTTCAACCTCACGAGAGACTCGTCTCGGATACTAGGAGTGTAGACCGGTGACCGAGATGACTAAGCCATCCGAGTGCGTTTCTACAAACCCGACATCTCAAACGACGGCTCCCCACCTCTCATTACCTACCCATTAGTCGCCTCTTAGGACAGGCAGGGTCTTCTGGCCTCAGCCGTATTCTTACCTCCGCGAGCCGAACGGAGAGAAAAAAAGAATAAGGCAGGCAGGATATATAGAACGATTGTAACAACCCCGGAATGTTTACGTCACATTCCGGAGTAGGTAGACATAGAGGTTAGCTAAAGCTTCGATTGATGGATAGGAGTGAATAACAAAGAAGATTTAAGGCGATTAAGCATCTACTTTAAAATTGTAGCAATAATTAAAATAATTTTTTTAGTAATAGATGTTTCTGTAATACTTACATTTGCATTTCTATTAATGCAACTCATATAGTGTCTTCTGGGAAAATCGTTATACATAGCTCTATAACAAGCTAATGACATATTATAATCCACTTCTATAGGATCAGGAGTATCTATGGTAGTCTTTGGTTCTCCTGAGCAAACGTTGTTTACTACCAACAATATCATATTACTGCCGGATATTTTTTGGACAATATATGGTCTGAAATAAAAATAAATATCAATAAAATAAATTAGTATTTCGCAGTAACTATGCTGGAATATGTATGACACACAGAACGCAATTCTTAGTAGTAGAAATTAATTGTTGGTTTAATTAATATTATTCCTACTGAGGAGTAGATAAAGCTTGACGTATATAGACCGTCGGATTTGAATCCAACGTTCAACCACTATTTTATCTCTTATGCCTTTTTGCGTACTGATATTGACATCCGAGACAAGCACAAAAAGGAAATTTAGAATTGAAGAAGGGTGCGTTTTTCTGCAAATCGAATTTTCCGCAAATTTTCCAATATAAAATTTTTTGTTATTACCACCTGCCGTTGTGTCTTTTTGCAGGTTTCTTATAGTGAATACAAACAAACAATGACATGAAGAAGAAGAGTATGCCAAATTTTTTTAAATAGAATCAATACTCCTCTATCGATTAGCAAATGGCATAGGGGAGACAATTTTTTTTACAAAAGATTTTCTTTACAATCAATATCCCAAGGAAACCCCAGAGTTTTCATATATTTTACTCTCCTTGATTTCATATTTCAGTTTTCTCAAAGACAATATATAAAATCGTAGTCGAACTTCGTCGGAAATCCGATGTTCTAATAATAGTTCTTTTTTTTTCTATTCGTAGTAAAAATATATGTATAGTTTATGAAAAACTGAAAAATGTTTCCTTTTTTTGCTAGCACACTATCTACTGCTTTTTTCCAATTTTCAGTGTAGATGTTTTGGAATACTATCAGTTTAATTTTGGGGAACAGACTTTGTTCTGATTGGAGTTCATAAAAAATAATGTAGTTTATACTTCTTAGATCAAGTTGTTAATCATTTAGGGAATAAAGATTTCACGGAATATTTCGGTTTTCTAGCGGGTTACAATTTTTTGGTTATTATTAATGAAATAGTGTGTATATGAAATAGCGAGCTATAACTCCTTTTTAACCATACTACTAATCCATCGACCGCCTGGATCCACACCCGAATTTCAATTTAAAGATACGTTTGAAAATTTTATTTTTCTGGCTAGGGATCAGCTTAAACCATAAACACAATACTTACATTTAAGTGATTGTGTTATTAAACCGAAGTGATAAAAGGTTTCATTTTCAAATAAAAAAAAGGATATCGAAAACCACTTAAATAATATGCTCTAAGTATATTAGGCCCATAAAGGAATCACAAAAAGGTACCAAAAAATAAAAGGCAGGCATATTTAAAATTCATTTATGGAAGGATATAGAAGAATATATATATATATATATATATATATATATATATATATATATATATATATATATATATATATATATATAGCTTTGAGGTTTATTGGGATTTATTCAGCGGTGAAATAAGTGTACTCTTTTAACTAAGTTTCAAGCTTTCGAAAATGTTTATTTTCATCATCAGGAAAAACTGAAAATAAAGTGCGACTGTTAGTAAATCATCCTCGAAATTAGTTGTAGAAAATGGTTTTTTTTATAAAAAACGATAAAAACTTACGTTATTGAGGTTCGTCTTTCGTGGATGTTTCACTTACAGGTGACAATATTACGCACCACTCATTGATTGAGTCAAATTTTAAAATATTAAACACATATAAAACTTTCATGGTGTATAAGACCACACTTAACAAATTATTATACTTTTAAACACATAAGAAAAAGACAGTTAAAAAAGTTTACAACGGCCACGTGTGCCGACCAACTGTTGAATGAACTTTTTTAACTGTCTTTTTCTTATGTGTTAAAAGTATAATAATTTATTAAGTGTGGTCTTATACACCATGAAAGTTTTATATGTCTTTAATATTTTAAAATTTGACTCAATCAATGAGTGGTGCGTAATATTGTCACCTGTAAGTGAAACATCCACGAAAGACGAACCTCAATAACGTAAGTTTTTATCGTTTTTTATAAAAAAAACCATTTTCTACAACTAATTTCGAGGATGATTTACTAACAGTCGCACTTTATTTTCAGTTTTTCCTGATGATGAAAATAAACATTTTCGAAAGCTTGAAACTTAGTTAAAAGAGTACACTTATTTCACCGCTGAATAAATCCCAATAAACCTCAAAGCTCCGTTTTCTAACGTTGTCAGCAAAGACTTCTTTTCGTTTTCTATATATATATATATATATATATATATATATATATATATATATTAAGCATCGGAAAAAGGAGTACGACCGTCAATCCAATATATATAAGGATCACTCAGACGAGTGGTGGGTTCTTATATCGGTCTCTAGGTGGAGAAATAAAAGACAAAGTTGATAGGCTACTTTATCTATTTTGAAGACGTTTCGCTTTCGAGTTTTTAAAGCATCATCAGTTCATCTAAAAAAGTACAATATGAGAACCACATAATCATGGAAACGGTGTTAATTGTTACCTTAAAAAGACATGTAGCAGTCAATGTTATTAACAATAATGTGAATGAAACTTAAGTAAATGGACATATATATGTCCATTTTTTTTGCACATAGTAACAAAAAACACCACTATGTTGTTACTAAGTTTTTTATGTTGTTGCTAAGTTTTTTAACATCCTAACTCGACATTTCTAAAAGTTACGGTAAGATAAATAATGTTTTTTAATAGATAATAATATATGGTAGCTAATTATAATTTATTCTCTTTCAGCCCTGAAGAAGCCAAATTAATTCTTTTTGGCCAAAACGTTCGACGAAACAATTGATACACATTAGAGTTTTTCTTGCAGATTTCCCCAATATTTAAGAGTTTACTATATAAGTGAGTAATATATATATATATATATATATATATATTATATATATATATACGTCTTCATATCAAGGCGAGATCCGATTAAATCGAGGACAACCCGAGATCCACCAATAGGAAATTAATTAATGGAGTATATTGTTCATAACTATCTTTATAATTAACATATTAATCATGGTACACTTAGAGGGGAAATGATTTTTGAACTTAAATTTTTTTGATAAATTTACAACAAAATGAGATCCGTAGCTGAAAAGGGAAGGGGAACACTTATATACGAAATTTTAGATATTTACAGATCAACGCGAGATCAGACACTGTTGCCAGTTCTAAAGAGTATTAGTCGAGCGACCGGAGCTCGTGTTGTATTGCATATTTCCTACTCAAACAGTAAAGTAATTTGCGGTTATGGTGTTTTGTATTTTAAAAATATTTCAAGGGCAGCGGTCAGTTGAAGTAGTAAAACAAAATTCAAAGATAACAGAAGCTAAGTAATGATTATAATTTTTATGTATTATTATTAAATAATTCAACATAAACTTTATAAACCGAATTACTAAAATGATCTGTTTTATTGAATTTGTGAAATCTATTCTCAAAGCTCTTTTTGTTTATTATTTATGTACAAAATTAAAAAGGGAAAATTATTTAAACTAAACAGTTTATCTGTATAACAAAAGCTATCATTTTAACATTCTAATCGTGTTTTAACATAAAAATATTAGTTTTGTACAAGAGTAAATACAATTCCATACTGAAGAGTAAATAGACTGGAAAAAGGCTTCTAGAACAGATTTTGGTGGGCACGTTTGTTGCTAAAATTCAAAACCTATTTTTATTCGTTTCTAATATCTTTCTTATGCAAAATCACTTGGTCGTCCAAAAATCGTAGCGTGAGGGGAGTGGTGGGGAGCCTTACAAAAAAGTGCTAATTTGTTTTTCGTCCTTTTTCGGATCTACGATATCCGAAAATTCATTCTTCAAATTTGCATATCGATCCAGACATTAGAAATATTTTTATTTTATTTATAAAAATACGTCAAACCATTGTTGTATACGGAGTGCCTTCATACAAAATGACTTAGAATGAGTCTGAAAACCCATATTTTTAATATCGTTTCTCCTCGCTCTACCCCGAAAAATATTGGGTCTAGCAAAAAATGGCTTTCTATAAAAGTTATAGACCAAACATCAGAGAACATGTCGGTTTGTTTAGAATGTCGATTGGATAAATAGTTTAAGAAAAAATTAAATAAGTAAATCGAAAGGCATGTCACGACGCACAGTGGCAAACGCAGAGATGCGAGGAAGGGCGAGATTCATAATCTGAAGTCAACCTCAAATCGACTTTAGTAATGGCGACGTTGTTAGGGTCGATTTTACATTGAAATTATGTTGTGTTGTATATTCGATTGCGAAAGTGCATCATTGTGCATTATTTTTTACTAATAGCACGAAATCCACTGAGCTGAGATTTTTAATATTAGAAGTTTTAAATTATTTTAATGAACAGCAGCAGGTATGACAGTGAACTTGAGTCAAAAATCAGATTACGGCATGTTTCTTTCCGTAAAGTCCATTTTCATTTTCGTTTGCTGAAAGAAGCGGAAACTGGAGAATACATTTTTGTTCTAGTTTTAGAAAAATGTACCCCTACTTCTTTGCATTTGACTATGTGAACTATTCTTTTTGGGGAACATTACATTTGTTGGACATGTACAAACTTGCTGATAAGGCTCCAGAATTGCATGAAGACTTTATGAGAAAAAATTTTGTTGTGAAAAGTTTGAACAGAAACTTTAACCAACTATTTGTAGATACAGCTTGAAACATATAAATACAAACTCAAAAGATGCAGGAGAAATCGTGAGATTGATTAAAACCAGCACCAAACTAGACGAATGGTTGTTAAGCTACAATATGATTGGCATGATGGTAGATGAATTTCGTGCATCATGAGACCTAAGCAACCACTCAAGTCAAAACGTAGACAATAGAAAAAAAAACGAATGAAAATTGACGAATATTCTGTACAAAAACTACATGATCAGTTTTTTACGATTTAATGTATTTTTCAAAAGCGTGGATCGTCTTCTCGTAATTTCAGCTAATAAGATTGCATCGCCAAATTTTCAAATACCCTTACTAAATATACAAAAAAATATAGAGAAGAGCCTAGCAAAATTTCTTCTTACTGTTAGAACTCCCAATTTTTATCATCATACAAGAAGTA